GAAAGGGGGCGAGGAAGGTGAAGGGAAGAAGAAGGTTGGTGAGGGAAAGAGAAGCCGGTAGCCATAGCTGACCGGCGGGTTGACCGGGAGAGTTGACCAGACATTGATCGGTGTTGACCGGGAGTTGACCAAGAGTTGACCGGAGGTGCTGACCAGCGTTGACCAGGGTTGACCAGGAGTTGACCGAGCATTGACCAAGACCGTTGACCATGATTTTGACCACAGCTGGAGCCGGTATAATCTCGCCAAGCCTTCCGCCTATCCCTCGCCCTATGGATGTGCACACACCCTGTGGTACTTGCTGAGTCCAGTATGTCTGTCTCTTCTTTCTGCATCGAGTCTCTTCTGTCCAGGTGATAGTACTCTGTGGATGAAGGATAGGGCCTTGTTGACCAAACCCACACGGGCTGAGTAGGGCTAAAGACTGTGTTTGACGACTCGACTGTCCTGGAGGCCTAACCCTCCCAAGGACCAGTACTGACCCGCGGGCTGCTCGATGTGGCACGTTAGGCCCAAAATCCGAGTTGTGGGCTGCACAACAGGCCGTCTAAGTGTTGAGAGACCTACTGATCACGTCGTCCTGTCTACGACGTTAAATAATTCTTCAGGAGTTATGGGGGATCTCCTTAAATGCCTCTTGATCAGCAACAGGTCTAGTAGTGACAGCCATAATGTAGGTCTAGGCTAGAGACTCTAGTTGACAGGATCCCTGCCCGGATTCTGTGAGTCTTTAGATTGAGTCAGTAGGTTTGTCAGTCAGGGGTTAGAGTCTAAGTGGTGAGGTTTGGAACCGCTAATCCGGTTGTGCACCTATCACCATGGTTGACACCCGGAGTGGGAAGAGCACTAGCCCCTATACCCAGGAACAGCAAGAGAAAATGGCCGCCTTAGTAAGAGAGAACAAGGAGAGGAAAGAGCTCCTGAAACAGGCGAAGTTGAAAGCAATCGCAGAGGAGCAGGCGGCGAAGATGAGGAAGTTGGAAGAAGAGATGGAGGAGAAGAAAAAGGCTGCCAAGGAAGAAGCAGCAGCAGAAGCAGAAGAGGAGACAAAACGCAGGGAAGCAGAAGGGGAGAGTAGTGGCACGAAAAATGAGGATGCAGCAATGGAGAAGAAAATCAGTGAGGGAATCGCTAATTTATCGTTGGGGAAAGATGAGGAGGCACAATTTTATGTGCCACAGGATGAGAGGGATGTGTTAACCAGCATGCTAACAACAATCGAGGACCCTCTGGAACGGCAAGAAGCAGAGGAGGAGAAGAAGTTGGAGTGGAAACTGAGGATGAAGAGGAAGAAGAAGAGGAGGGACGAAGTTAACAGGTTGACCGCGGAGGTGGCAGAGGTCAGAGATTGTAGACAAGAGGTGCAGGCGCAGGCAGACATTTCTGCCAAAGTGGATAAGATGTTGGGGTATTTGGAAGTGTTGAGTGCGGCTTGGATGGAGGACCGCCAAGCTAACTGGGGTCATGATGTGGCCCTGAGTGCCATGCGGTCAGGATTTCGAGATTTTGCGCGCGATATGGTCACCCACGTTGGAGGCGAAGTCAGGCGATTGAGAGACGACGTGGGGAAATTATGTGAGGGCGCCATCGAGGGTGCCAAAGCAATAGCCGCTGTAGAGAGTGAGGCCAGGCCTCGTAAGGAGCCCGTCAAGCTTAAGTTTCCAGATGCATACGGCGGGAAGAAGGAGGAGAATTTCGATAACTGGAAGGCTGCTGTAAATAGTTATGTGTATTTACAACACATCCTGACTGAGGAGCAAGTCCTCGTCGCCTTCCAGGCCCTCAAAGATGAAGCGGCCAGTTTTGCCAGATCCCTTGCGCGCGCAGCCGGTTGTGAAAACAACCTGATTGCATATTCCAAGATCACCCCCCTTCCTCAATTCTTCGAACTCCTGAGGGAGAGATTTGTTGACCCAACGAGAGGTGTTAGAGCCTCTGATAAGTTACAGACCATCCACTCACGACAATGGATGAGTGCAAGAGCACTCAAGGGCATTATGGACGACTTGGTAGCCATCCCAGACCATGGGGTCACTGAGCCCCAGTTGGTCCAATTGTTTTATCGTGCCATGCCAGAGCCCTTGCATGGGCATTGCTTCGATAGATCTCAACAGGCCAACATCACATATGATGTGTTGAGCAGAGAAGTGGTCCTGTTTGAGTCGAAGTCCATGCCAGTGTCCACTTTCTGGCACAAGGACTTGGATAAGGGGAAGAAGTGGAAAGGGCGTACCATCTCTGGCCAAGTCAAGGCCAAGGATCACATGATCACATGATCCTCACGTTAGAAGAGGGTGGTACCGATGAAGTCCCCTACAGTGAGATTGAGTGGGGGCTAGAGGAGGAGGACAGCAGTGTAGGGCAAGGGAGGTCCTATGCGGCTGTTGCGGCTGGAGGGAGGCCGCAAGGAAGAGGAGGCCAGGGCCAAAGGGGCCAGGCCACGGGAGGCCGAGGACCGGGCGCACAGGGGGTTGGCGGACAAGGGAACCGCCAAGTGGGAGGTAGGGGTCAAGGTCCCCCGCCAAATCGTCAGGGTTCTTGTTGGTCCCCACAGCGACGAGGAGGAAAGCCACCTCAGGGAGGATGGCACCTAGGCTTGCCGCAGGGCAGGCCCTAGGAAGATTTGGGCTTGGACCAGCGCGTATGGCAGGAACGCGTGGACTTGGGTCAGTGCGTGTTTTGGGGTGACCCCCATGTAATTAAATTTTGTCCTAAGTAGAGACAGGCCCGATGGGCTGCTCAGCAGTCAAAAGGCAGCCGCCAGTAGGGGTCGCAACTGCCCCTACTTCAAGGCCATGTGGGGAAGCGAGTGCGGGCATACAGGAAACTCCCAAACCACATAAGCCTATGGCAGAGGTTGCAGGCCCATGCCTAGCTAACTGTCCACAGACTACTTGTGTTAGCGTCTTTCTACGCACGTCCCTCACAGGCGTGGCGGAGGAATTGAAGGAGAGGATGCCAGCCTGGGCCAAAATGAAGAAGGAGAGTAAGGGACAACTAATCTTGGTAGATGTAGAAGTGTTTAGAAGCAGAGTAGGGGCCCTTATAGATTCAGGGGCTACCCGTAGTTACATTAGCCATAGAGCGCTGGAAAAGCTAAGGCTAGGATTAAAAGTTCAAAAGTTGGCAGACCCCATAGTCAGTGTCCTCGCAGACAACCGCACAATGCGAGCTGAGGACTACGTAGGGGGAGTCCAGGCGTACTTTCGCCTAGAGAAAGATGGGAAGGTGGAGAAAGTTCTCCATTCCCTGACTCTCCTCGTACAGGATGACATTCCTTTTGATATAGTGTTAGGAATGGATTGGGGAGCGGCAGCAGGGGCCACACTCCACTTGAGAGAGCATGCGTGTAGGCTCCCTAGTCCGTCAGGCGAGGTTAAGTTGCGACCATAGCCGCCATAGCTAGAGTTAGTGTGTAGTGTGTGTGTGTATGTGTGAGTGTACAGTATCGCGTGTGGGATATCCAGGGTGATCCGGTGTGTGCGCACAAAGAGTTGTTTGGGCGCTGAAACGCCATAGCCATTGGAAGTGAACTCTTATCTGAGTTGCCATATCTCTGAGTTTTGAGTGGCCGCATGTCGCCAGTTTGCTGCGCTACTGTTTGCATGCATGTAAAGTGTGGATGAAAGCGAGTCTGATTGCATTCACAATTCTTCAGTCATAATCCGCGAGGACAGAATGTTCAGATTGGCTTACCAAGGAGAGCATATTACACATCAGGAGTGAGACCACTCAGCAGAGACAGAGGACACAAAAAGAATGGTGCATTGATTTGAATGGTGCTTCTGGCTGGAACTATAAGAAATATTTCATTCTGACGAAGACTGCGAGTGAGCAATCTTTTCTGAACCACCAACTCACTCACTTACCATCTGCAGAGCCCCACCACAGTGCCTCCTGTTGTCTGAGCCTTGACAGTATTCAGCAAGTCCAAAACATTGAATATAGGAAAGAAAATTCATTTGCAAGTTGAAAGAAAAAAATCATTTGCGAGCATACTTTCCTCACACACGACATGAGTGTGTCATGCATGGCACAGGACACAAAGCACACTGATGCGGGCGCACACCAAAAGTACAAAAAAAAAAAATCATTTTCTAAAATATCTCCACAAAGAAATTGAAAGAAAACATTGTCACATACCATACTTGCGGCGCATCGACCCTGTGCGCTGCGCGGTGCGCTGCGCAGCGCGCGGTGCGCGGACCTGAGGTACTCGCGCACCGGCGCGCGCCGCGCACCAGGGTGCACGGTGCGCTGCGCGCGGGTGCGCTGGGGGGTGCGCGCTGGTGGGCTGCATGTGCGCCAGGTGCACACATCATTTATTTCATTTTTTTTATTTTTACGTTCCTTGGGGAACACACACACACACACACACACACAGGCACACACAGGTGGGAAGCGGAGGAAGAAAACGGGAGGAGGGAGAAAGGTGGATGGAGGGAGGTGAGACGTTGGTGTGAGGAGGAAGGTGTGTGTGTGTGTGTGTGTGTGTGTGTGTGTGTGTGTGTGTGTGAGAGAGAGAGAGAGAGAGAGAGAGAGAGGAAGGAGNAGAGAGAGAGAGAGAGAGAGAGAGGAAGGAGGGGAGAGAGAGGGACTGGTGGTTACCCACCTACGCCTCGCTCCTTCCGCTGCTTCTTCGGCTCCTTCACGATGACTGTTGTGCCCTGGCTATGGCTGGACGACGACGCCCTGGACTGCTGCTGCTGCACAGGAGACGTGGAGGCAACCATGCGACGGGCAACGCACGGCGGGCGCGAAGGGCACAAAGCTGGCCTAACGGGGTTCATCCAGGCAGCGAGGGGCAGCATTCCGAATTCAAAACTTCAAAAACAAACTTACTTTAGCTGCCCCCCCTTTTTGTTTTCAGAGGCCCCGCACGGCCTCAAAATGTTGTTGTTGTTGTTTTTCTTGTGTTTCGCAGCGCGACATCCCAGCTGGGCCTCGAATACCCCTCGGCAACTTTTTTTTTATTGGGTCGATCCCCTATTTTCGGGGTGCGGCGCATGTGCGGGGTGCAGCGAATGTCGATGCACCGCAAGTATGTCACATACCTATCAACTAAAAGAGTTCACTGTGTGAAACAAGCGATAAAAATTACAGACGACAAACATAAAGAGCACACTAAATCCTTTTCATTTCAGACCATTTCCTCTTTTTTTTTAGCTCCCCACTATATGTCCATTCTGCAGCAATGGGCATTATACTGAATGCATGGTCCCGTGGTGCCCATTCTTCATTTATCTTGGCCTGAAATCAACATCCCACATGTCCGGACTGTTTGGTGTAAACCACCAGTACTTGGCCCAGCTATCCGAGCCTCGACCGACCGGTACGCCGAGCCTTCCCGAGGCTCGAACTACCGAGCACTAGCTTCCCCGACCTGGTTGCAGAAAAACACAGAAAAGAGAAGACAAAAAAAAAAAAAAAAAA